TGTTGCCCGAGGGGCATCCGCGGCGGGGGAGGTCCCTTCAGCCGGCCGCGCTCCTCGAGCTCTCCCCGGCACCCGCGGTGCGACCTGCAAGGCCTGGAGGCCACCAACGCAGGGAGAACGGCAGAAGGTGTTAATCGCCAGAGATTGGTAACGTTTGGGGAGGGGGGAGAGGAACTATGCTGGGCTCGGTAGTGCGTTCAAGGCCTTCGCGGAGGTGAGGTAACGTTTGCGCCAGCTCCCATGGGAGTTACGTTGCCTTGTCCTCCCGCCTGCCCTTTGCGGACGACATCGTAGGCCCCTCACGTTGAGGAAGGTTGTGGGTTCAGTTTACGCGTAGCATCGGCACCTTCTCTTCCCAGGGGTCGTTTTTACGCCACCTGGTCACAGTCACAGAGCGGTTTGTTCCTTGCTTAGCTGAGAGGTGAAATGAGACCTCCCGAAGTGGAAAGCTTTGAAATGGGATGTGAGAATTAATAAAGCATTGTGCATTTGAACTACTTGGTCTATAATTTGATGAGTGGCCGCCTTGCGCTCCCCTTGGAGACCCAGCGCAACAAGGAGCCAATCAAATCACTAACCGCTGAGCAGGTTAAGGCGCTTTCTGGTTTCCTTTCCCTTTTACAGGCTCTGCTGAATGTCTATTGTAGTATGATGCTGGAATAAAGAGAGCTATAATAAGAAAAAAAATCCACTCCTGTAACTCATAGCACAGGGAATCATTGAAATAATGCCTATTATAGATGTGTAAAAGAAGCTTCCTGTGTGCAGGAGTTTGTGTGTATGTATGTGCATTCCGGAAAATGCACATTTAGTTTATACACCTAACTTGCACAGGGTAAAAACTACTGTAAGTAGAACTTTTCTGTTTTGAGAGTATAGGACGAGTGTATGACTTATCTGATCTCCTCTTCAGAACTGCAGAAGCAGTTTGCTAACCATTTTTATGAATTTCTTTTTATTTCTAATTGAGTAATTATCTTACAGAACTTGGCCCAAATTTTCACAGATGGCACTGTGAAAATCCTGGACCCTGCAAGACTCCTAAAGAGCAAGGTTAAATAGATTCTTAGCAGAAATCATCTTTTTAAAATGATCTTTTAATGTTAAATTGAGAGTTCTCTATACTTGTCTATCTCAAAATCCAGCAATTAGGCAATTCCTG